AATGCTGTGTGAGGTTAGGGTGGGAACTGTGAAGAGTATGTAGTGAGAGGTTAATATACGAACTATGGAGAGGTTGTACTGTGCTGTGTGAGGTTAGGGTGTGAACTGTGAAGAGTTTGTAGTGAGAGGTTAATATACGAAATATGGACAAGTTGTACTGTGCTGTGTGAGGCTAGAATGTGAATTGTGGAGAGGTTGTAATATGCTGTATGTGGTTAAGACGTAAACTATGGAGAAGTTGTAGAATATGTGAGGTCAGGATGTGAACCGTGGAGAGATTATAATGTGCTGTGTGAGATTAAGAGGCGAGCTGTGGGAAAGTTATAATGTGTTGTGTGAGGTTAAAAGGTGAAATGTGGAGAAGCTGTAATATGGTGTGGTAGGTTAAGAGGTAAAATGTGGAGAAGGTGTAATTTCTGTATTTCTGTTTAAAAAATAACTTACAATATATAACCTTTGCACAAGAATGGATAAAGAACCAGTAAATGTAATAGCCATCTTTTTTTACAATGATAACTAACCAGTAAATGTATTAGCCATCCCTTTTACAATGATAAAGAACCAGTACCTTCTTTATCCATCCCTTTACAATAGGTCGTCGTTGTCGCGAGTTGTAAAGAAGCAGTTAATAAATGTTGTGATCATAACGTCTTTTCAACGTTCATCAATTATTTTACAAAGAAACTTAAATTGTAAGATTCTTTTTTTTGTAATAAAGTAAATGTTTGATTACGTCATTTTATTGAATTATCATTTTTTGTTTGTTTGTCACAAACGTTACCGAATATTCCTTAAAACTAGTTTTAAGACATAATGAAGACATTGCAAATACTAGTCTGTTATACAAATTCATTCACATAAAACAACTTTTATTACACTATAAACTTTACAACAGTTTCAAACGTACATGTAATTTCACATGTAAACTAATATATATATATATATATATATAGTCGTTAATTTCCGTAGTTGTTAGTGTTAACAATTTTCTTATGGACTAAGTTACTGTTGTGTCGGTTGGACATGATGGCAATTAATATCTATTTTTTATCGAATCTGCAGTCCCTTCAAACCTCTATGTGACTAAATCTCATTAGTTTCAAGTGAAGAAATATTCATGTTTTACAGAATTAAGATAATGTATTTTCAATACTCTGATCAAAGTTTTAAAACAATATTATCTGGTATATTAGCTTTTTACTCACAGAGATTTTGTCTTAGGAACGTGACTTAAAGTTTCCAACATGAAATCCCGACACCATAAGGATAGCTGCTGTTACCCTCCATGTCTGTAGCGCCTTTTCGTTACAAATTCTTTACTCTGTTTTTTGTCAGTATCTCGGTTGTTCTCTACAGCATTCGGATCTAAGCAACGACAATCCGTTTTACAGTGAGCAGGAAACGGTTTCACCTCATGACCCTTCACCGTGGATTGACAACAGTCACCACCATCCCAGTGGCAAAGTTCTCTGTTGTTAATGCCATCACAGTAGCTGTCACCTATGAACATCTTCCAGGAATAGACCACATTTCTAAAGTTACTTTCTGAGGATATTTTGTTTTTTCTAAATTATGTTGAAACAATATACATTTGTGTTGCAAACATAATACTAAAATACGATGTTATTTAAAGACATATGAACACTATAATATACTTAATACCTTCCCTTCTAAGATATCAATATAATCTTAGTTCTCATATACACCTGATGTAAATCTCACGCATTCTAGTAGTTGAGTTAGTACGATCGTGGTCTGTACGTTACTGCATTCACGAAGTCATGCATTACCCAAAACATAGTTTTACGTCTCAGTTAATGTTGTAGCGTGGTCTTTATCCTGTAAATGTACTCATGTATACTTTAAGTGTAATATATATACTGTACATGCACTTACGTATTTTTGTAGTTTAGTTTTATACACTCGTATTTTTGTATTATCGTCTGTACACTATACATACATTTACAAACACTCCTATCATCTGACCTTCCATTCATTCTACAAATACATCATAAATAACAACATTACAATAAAACGCGTTTTAAAACTAAGAGAATTTATTAAAGATAATCAATCAAAGCATTCATCTGAAGTATTTCCTTCACAGGCTAAAGTTGAAACAGCTCAGATGCCTCTCTCCCCCTCAACAAAAACAAGAGGGAATCCTCAATAGTCGCGGATGTAAGTAGATCTCAAGTCGGTCAAGAGATGGAGCTATGAGCTAAAAGTTTGTATTTGAAAAAAACAACAAATTCAGAGCCATTCTATGAGACACTGTGCCACGACTAATAATAACACCAAGAATCATACATATTAAGCTTATTACGATTGAAATATCTACTATAACATTAAGAGACTCGTTTTGTTTGCACAATCTTTCAAGACATGATGAAAATGTCGTCACATTCATAGGAGAAAACTACCTTTCGTTAGTATAAAAATCACTAAGATGTGATGTCACTTCCGACATTTTTGTTTTAAAACTAGCTTCTTGGTTATATTACAAGTTTTCATTCCCTTTGACTAACAAGAAGTTGTGACGTATAATGTATACACATCTTTCATACTTGCATTACAAGAATACAAAATCTCACTGTTACCTCTTTACATTTTTCCACACAGAAGATGGAGGATGGATCAGGGTACCATCTTTGCCGGGCAGTACATGTAATTTTTTGCTCATCAAACTTGATATATTTGTCTGCTGTCTCTAACGTCAGTTGGTGGTCATAGGTTTGACAAGATACATTGCAAGCTCCACCTGAAACAAAAGCACAACCTAAAGAAACGGTTACTAAAGATAAACTCCCAACTTTAAAGTTATATTCTAACTATTACTTAAAGTTAATTACGATAAACGAGGAGCATTCTAGTATCATACTAAACTTTAAGAAGTTCTACATGCCAACGTTTCTGTTTTACAAAAATACAGTAAATCATAAATAAAACTGACATATGTTTCGTAACGTTAGGAGCCATGAAAAAAAAACAGAAAACAGAATTATGCTGAGCATTGGTTTAAAAATGCAAATAGATGTAGAAGAAAAAGGAAAGTCAAAGTTTCTCAATAATTTTTGAAATGCATTCGGTTCTACTAGGAAAGTATATCTGGAATTTTAAACCTCAAACTAAACCTTAAAAGAAATCAATCATCATTTAACATCTTCGAAATTCAAAAATGGCTACCAATGACGACCTGTAGTTCACTTTGCAACTAAACATTTTTTCAAATGACCATGACACCTAAACGTCACTTAACTAATCCTTTTAAGTTCCACTCAAGCAGAAGAAGAACAAGTATTAAAAGATAACCTTTTTTTTTCATACGATAATTCCTGTCTGACGATTTTAAAATTGACCAATGACCTGAAGAACATAAGATTTGTCATCACATAAAATATTCATAACTGAAATAAAGACAAAAATTATTTCTGTTCATGGGTATCAGAAACTATAATGAAACATAAGAACACACCCAAAAATGTTCCCCAGTGGGACAGCGGGCAAGTTTACTGACTTACAACGCTAAAATTTGCGGTTCGATTCTCCGCGGTGGGCGTAGCAGATAAACCACTGTGACTTTGGTTTAAAAAAATATGGAACACCAAAACATGTTTTTCTGGCTGAAACAAGCAAGCTTAATTATGATGAAAAGTTTTGCTTTTTTTTTGCATGAAAATTAGAAACAAAGGCAATAGTTAAAAGATAGGCAACAAACGCAATAATTAAAAAGGTAGGCATCAAACGCAATAATTAAAAGATACTACTTTACACCTTCTGGAAAACAATATGACGTTAAATAAATAGGCAAAAAATTTTAAGCTGTCCAAACTGCGAGTAAAGACACCAGATAATAAATGCTAAAGAAAATGTCAGTACAATACTTATTAAAGTAAAACAGTAACTACAGAAATATACCTTAAATTATTAATTAAGAATAAAGAAAGAAAAACAGTGATTTGCGTATTATAACAGTGATTGACTATATAAAGTTAAGACTACCATAAATTGAAATATACATGTAGATATGAGGAAGAGCTTTCTATCATGTGGTGATTTTGAGGCTCTCTGTAAATACTTCATTCTTCCCAAAATATCCATATAGATATATATGTGCGGTACCTTTCTAAGTCCGGAAATACATTTTTCCCAAAATATGTATGTGGTGTCTTAGTAATGTACAAATATATGATCATCCTCATGTGGGAAGACAGCCCCATGGGAGGGTCCGCACTGTGTCTGGACATGACAAATTTGGGAGTAAATTTCCAATGGTGTGAGAAATGGATATGAAGATTGGGACATCGTTGTTTGTTGGGCTATCTGTGCTCTGCCCACCACGGGTATCGAAACCCGGATTCTAGCGTTGTAAGTCCGCAGACATACCGCTGTGCTACTGGGGGGCTACATCGTTGCGAATGGTTATCTAAAAAACTGCGTTACAGAGGAGGGATATTGGCAACACCAGCCACACCTTTCACTCGTATCATTATAATTCTGATGAACAAAAATGCTCGTCCCCATCGTGCTTATATCATCAATGAACAGGAAAAGCTTTCTTCCAGAATTTTCTCCGGACTTCAACTTTAATAAAATACATCTAGAACTAGCTTCAGTGGAGATATATCGATCACCCATCTGATACACTGGAGCAGCAGGGAAACGTCCTGATAAGAGATGAGGATACATTTCCAGAGGTTTCATCCAGAGATTCCCGTAGGAAATGCAACGTCATTGAAAGGTTATGTTTATTGTTCAAGACAGACATATTTGCTATTAAGATGGACCGACACATTCTGGGAGCTATGATTCTGATATCCATGGATCATGATGTTGTATGCAAGGAAGTCGATGTTTATATATAATATGTATATACGTGTGTGCATGTATGTGTGCTTGTGTGAAATTTCGTCTAACACAGTGCACTTACCAATAATGACTCCATCACAATGAAACTCGACACCTTTTTGTTCAGGTTTTGGCTTTTTGCAAAAACCACCACCAGGAGAACACAATGGAAAAGGTTCGTTCCATACTCCATCCACTTCACAGCGTCTAACAGTTGGCTGAAAAATTACATAAAAAAGAATTGGGGTGGTTACAGAGTTACGAACTAAACATATAGCTAATAACTAACTGCGAATTGGGATGTTAAAAGAATTACGAACTAAGCATATAGCTAATAACTAACTGTGAACTGGGATGTTTATAGAGTTACGAACTAAACATATAGCTATTAACTAACTGTGAACTCGAATGTTTATAGAGTCACAAACAAAACACGCAGCTAACAACTTACTGTGAACTGGGATGGTTACAGAGTCACGAATTAAACATTTAGCTAACAACTTACTGCGAACTTGGATGGTTACACAGTCACGAACTAAACGTGTATCTAATAGCTAACAGTGAACTCGGTTTCTTTATTTAAGAATCTCACTTCCTGTGGTTGATAATTTTTTATTACACCGTTTATAATCGTGTTGAATACACTTTTATGAATACACATTATAACGCCCCCTTCAGGCTGAAAGGGCGAGTATGTTTGGTGTGACGAGAATTCGAACCCGCGACTCACAAAACTAAAATATTTAATATGAGATTTGGTTTATTTCAAGTTAAGTACAAAGCTACACAATAGCTACCTGTGCTCTGTCCAACACGGGTATCAAAACCTGGTTTATAGCGTTGTAAGTTCGCAGACATAACGCTGTGCCACTGGGGGGGGGGGGGGCAATATTAGAAATTAATTTGTTTATCGCGCAACATGATGTGCAAATCAGTTCTCGGGTTCGTTAAATGACAAGAACCACAAATAATTTTGATATTTTTTTCTTCCGCCGTTAAGGCTTCACTAGAAACAGTAGATACGTAGGTATTTTATATGCATATACGTTTGCATATTAAAAATACAAAAACTACAGGTGTTTGTTGAATTTTATTAAATTAAAAACTGAAGATGCAAGAATTTGCAAGTAATCTTACTATAATGAATAATCAACCTCATAAAGATAATTCTTCCTCCATATAGACTCAAATAATTGAAATATTTTTTGGAGCAGTAAAAGGCGCCATGAACCCAACCACTTCTGAGAATTAATCAAAACGATTTTTAATTCGGGTAATTGGGTAACCTTTTAAGTAAATGAAACATCAGTAAATCTTAAGAGTAAACTTTTGGCATTTTACTTTGTAGTTTTTAACAGTCTCATCTTATAAAAAAAAGAACAAATTAGTTGTTTTTTAAAGAAATATAATAAATTTCAATTCAATTTGCTGCAATATATCTTAATAATAAACTAAAAGGGGGGATATAAAATTTCACCCGAAATGAGCATTAACGAACTTCTAAATAGGAATTTGAAGAGCGATCTGATTTATTATTATTATTTATTAAGTATTATATTTAGCATGCAACTAGGAAATATCCTGTGCAGTAAACCTATGTGTAGAATGCTACTTACCTTTCTATTAGGGCAATAAAACGTACACTCACTGCCGTACAGGAAACCATTTGTGCAATTATATACTCCAGAGTACATAGCGTGCATTGGAGGACAGCTATCTGGAACACAGTGTGGCCCATACCACACTCCTCGATCACCACACCGCAGATATTGGCTGTACAATATAGAAGGTAAAAACTCATTAATTTGTCTACCTGAGTCAAAACAAGAGTTCCAAATCTTAAAAAATAAAATAAAGTAAGATGCATCGTGTGTTGTTTTTTTTGTTTTTGTTTTTTACACCAAACAATCTCTTGCCCTCAAAAATGTAGGTCTATGTGCGAAAGTCCTCTTTCCAGTTTGTTCTCAACTTTTGGCCGTTTTTCAAAATCCCAATTTGGTACAATTATAACACAAATGGTTGATCTTTAATGTGACTTGACTTCTGAGCTAAATTCACCGAAAGTTAATCAACTGGTTCTTAGAAAACACTCAACTTTTGTACCAAATTTGAACAAAGTCAGGAGAAAAAATAAGTCAAGTTCTACAGTTCACACAAACACACACATGTGAAAACGAACAAAGTCTGGTGGAGAAAAGTCAAGTTATACAGTTCACACAGACACACAGATATGAAAACGAACAAAATCAGGAGAGAGAAAAAGTCAAGTTTTACAATTCATACAAACATACACAGATGAGTTCTACAGTTCACACAAACACACACATGTGAAAACGAACAAAGTCTGGTGGAGAAAAGTCAAGTTTTCACACAGACACACAGATATGAAAACGAACAAAATCAGGAGAGAGAAAATGTCAAGTTCTACAATTCATACAAACATACACAGATGAGTTATACAGTTCACACAAACACACACATCTGAAAACGAACAAATTCAGGAGAAAAAAGTCAAGTTCTACAATTCATACAAACATACACAGATGAGTTATACAGTTCACACAAACACACACATCTGAAAACGAACAAATTCAGGAGAAAAAAGTCAAGTTCTACAGTTCACACAAACACACACAGATGAGTTATACAGTTCACACAAACACACACATGTGAAAACGAACAAATTCATGGGGAAAAAAGTCAAGTTCTACAGTTCACACAAACACACACAGTTCCACATCTCAAGCTTAAATACAATTGAACAGGTGTCGTTGTCTTCGATCAGAACGTCCAATCCAAGTACTCTCAAAGTCATCAACCACAGGTTGAGCTTCGGGTGGAAAAATGTTTTCATCAATAATAAAGTTGAACATCTCTGCAATGTGGTCTTTAGGAACAAATACTGGTACAGAGAGCATGTAAATATTTAAAGCGAAGTCCGCATCTGTGTCGTTTCTTTGCTTGAGGCAATTTTCACTGATTTTACAGTAAATACACTGACAAAATGGAAAAACACTCACGAGTGAAGATTAAATGTTAATTGCATTTATCATTGCAAGTTCGAAATATGGTAGTATAGACACAGGATTTAAGGCAGGTACTAACTCCTTTATCTCCCCAAGAAGTCTAATATACGTTTGTTCATTTTTATTCGGCAACAATGTATAAATTAAAGGGACTGCAATGCTTCCTTGTAGCGCGTGAATCGTATATAATTGTTCAAAAATATTCAGAATGGTCTTAAATGTTCCATCAACATACAAGTGATCACAACTTGTCAGTAACTGTAGGACATTTGCATTTTTTTTTTCAAATTGCTCTCATTTCCAATAAACGTTTTCCTTCATTTGTTTGTCTTTAACAAATAAATATCCGTTCAAATCTAACATAGGTCTGCCTTTCTCACTCTCAACAGAATTTAACATTTTGGGGGGAAACAGCTTGCAATAAAATTATAATACCATTTTGACATAGTACACACACAACGCATTGTGTACAACCACTTCATAAAACTGTTCGTATACAGTGACTGATGGTCAGTCGATGGCACATTCAAAGAAACTTCTCTGGACGTTTCAAAATTATGCAAGGAGTCTAACCGCCAAAACTATCGAACTTCACCAGATAACATAATTAAAATATATAAAACATATCCGTCTAGTCATAGAATACGCATGCTATGATAAACAAAGCACCCAGGGCCCGGCATGGCCAGGTGGATAAGGCGCTGAACTCCATCTGCAGAAAGTGATGCTTTGCATTTGGTGGGACATCAAAGGAGTAATTCATTTCGAACTCCCCAATCCACAGCGAACTGTTACTGCAGAGATCCACAGTCATAAACTGGAACGTTTAAATCAAGCCCTT